CTTTTAATACCATTCCAATCAAATTACCAAGGGGATATTTTATAGAACTTTATGAAATAATAACAAAGTGCATTTGGAAAAAACAAAATATCTAGAATATCAAGGGAAATTATGAAAAGAAGTAGGTAGAGTAGCACTTCCAGAACTCAAAATATATTATAAAGCAGCAGTCATCAAAACCATGTGGTATTGCTTAAAGAACAGAGAGATCAATGGAACAGTCTTAACAAAGGAAAATCAGAGACAACAGAACTCAATAATTCATTATTTAAGTAGAAAACATAAATTACCTAGGAAACAACTTTTTAGTTGATTAAAAATGCTGGGGAAATGAGAAAGCAATCTGATCGAAATTGGGTTTTAGACAAACATCCAACACTATATTCCACAATACATTCTAATATGACCTTAATTTTAAAGATCATATTATTTTAGAAAAGAAACAGATCATGTATTTCTCATAGCTGTGGGTAAGAGACGTATCCTTAACCAAATTAGAAATGAAGGCAATTGCAAAAGATAAAATAAGTAACTTTGATTACTTGAAACTGAAAAGCTTATGCGCAAACAAAATTAATGCACCTAGAATAAGAAGGGAAGTGATTGAATAGGGCAGGGCTTCTTAAACTTTATCATTGGTATTGCATGGCCTGAGAGTATGCGTAGTGCAAAGTGTTCATAATTTCTGTTCAGAATCAAGGCTACAGTGAAGTTGCAGGATGCAACACAGGCAAGCCCTGCCAGAAACACATTAGATTCAATATGTATTTGATTTTTAATTAATTTTTGGTTGTTGTGAATTCAGAAACCTTTTACTGTTGCCAAATTTTTCATGACTCTATGTGGGGCCATGACACAAAGTTTAGAAGCACTGGAATAGTGAAAAAAAATTTCTGCATCAAATTTCTTGATAAGGGTTTGGTGTCTAAGACATGTAATCAATTAATAAATGTATAAAAGACTGATTGCTATTTCTCAATAGGTAAATATTTGGTCAAAGGATATAAACAAACAGTTCTCAAATGAAGAAGCTACAAAATATTCACAACCACATGAAAAAATGATCCAAATCACTAATAATGAGAGAAATGCAAATCAAAACAACCCTAGAGTTTCACTTTACACTCTACAAATTGGCACAAATGACCAAAAAAATAGCAATAGCCCATTCTGGAGGAGCTGTGGAAGAACAGGCATATTAGCATATCTCTCCTCAGAGACCTAAAAATCATAGAACAAGTATATGCCAACACTCAGGTTTTACCATCCCGAATCCTTCCTCTTCCATCCTTTCCTAGGCTAAGCCATCAGTCCCAGGGCCCCATTGCTGTGGTTACCCTCTCCCAAGGTCTGCCTTTATTCCAGTCCCTTTGGGAACATGAACTGGACACTGAAAGACATATGATAGACTCAACGATTACAAGTGCTCACACGAACCAACAGGATTTGCTCCAGGCATAAGAATTCCTATTGACATTGACTTCCCCACCCCCTCTCATCTTAATTTAAAAAACAAAATCAAACCTAGTGTGTGATATAACCCCTTTACATTTCTATAGAGATGCAGCATCATAATACTGTATATTTGGTAGACAGCTAGCCTCAGAGTCAGGAACACCCAGTTTCAGGTTTTGCCTATGACATATAATGGCTATGGGGCCTCAATCATCTTTCTGAGACTCTGATTCCAGAGCAGGTGCTAATGTGCATTAGCAGAAGGAATTTGTTCATCAGGAGTTTCCTGTACCAATTAGAACTTCAGGTCTGCTTCACCCTTAACCTCCCAAAAGTTTCTATAGCTCAGGCTTCTCTTCCTATGCTAGTATGATTTAGAGACTAGATACTGCTAATGGAAATCACTACTGAATCACAAGTGAACGGAACAACCTCTCTGTCATTGACTGTGCCACTTTGGGCAAGTATCTTCACTTCTTTGGATTTTAATTCCCTTATCTCTATAGTAAAAGAGTTGTACTAGATTGTTCTGTAAGATACCTTGTGGCTTTGACATGCTTTGAGTCCATTATACTTGCTCCCCACTTCCTGCTACCCTGGTGAAGGAGGGACTGACTGCATTCTCAGTTGCTCCCACAACTGCCCTCAATTCCTGGGCATTTCCTGTCATAGGTGTTTCCTAGCCCTGTTGACAGACACGGACGTCTAATTCTAGCAGTATGACTGGGCTGCACGCCCTTTGTGAATATGTGTGTTCTTCCCCAGGTTTCAGTGGGCCTGAAAAGCATGCACTGTTAATCACCTGGAGATTAAACTCCTTAGCCACCCCCTTGTGTGATTTAGGCACAGTGACAGGAAGGTGGTTTGAAATGATTACCTGTCTTCCATACACTCATTTACCCACTGAGGGGACCACCCATACTTCAGGACACAGAATTCTTACAATGCTGTGCCTTCCTGAGATGAAGAAAATTGCAATTGCTGTTTTCTCAGCAGGAAGAAAAAGGAGGAAAACATTGGTCTGCTTTTCCGGTTTTTGTTACCAAAATGTCATTTGGGTCCTTCAACTGGAGAACACTCAAATGAGAGCGTTTAAAAGACTGCTAGGTGGCTTAGTGAATAAAGCACTGGGCCTGGAGTCAGGAAGACCTGAATTCAAATCCAGCCTCAAACACTTACTAGCTGTACAACGCTGGCAAGTCACTTGACCCTTGTTTCCCTCAGTTTACTCATCTATTAAAAAGTGAGGATGATGATAGCACCTAACTCCCAGGGTTGGGCAGCTAGATGGCAAATTGGGTGAGCACCAAATCTAGAGTCAGGAAGACTTTTCTTCCTGAGTTCAAATCTGGCTTCAGGCACTTACTAGCTATGTGACTCTGGGCAAGTCACTTAGTTCTATTTGCCTCAGTTTTCTTACCTGTAAAATGAGTTGCAGAAGGAGATGGCAAACTACTCCAATATCTCTGCCAAAAAAATCCCAAATGGAGTCATAAAGAGTCAGATATGACTGAAACAACTGAACAACAACAACTCCTAGGGTTTATTATAAGGGATAAAATGAGGGGATGCTTGTAAACTGCTCTTTAAACCTTTAAGTGCTACATAAAGGTTAGCTGTCCTGTTATCGTTATTATTATTCATTTGCTGAAGGTCACACAGCTAGGTTAGAGCTAAAGAATTAGAATTCAGGCCTTCTGATTCCCTATTCAAAATAAGGAATGATATGGATCAAAAATCACTTCCAAAATATTTTTTATAAATTCATAGATGGTAGAACCATAACGAGCTCTTAAGAAAAACTCAGCACATTCTTTAGATATAATTTTAACCTTTTGATGTTGACATCAGGGAGAACAACCATGGCATTTCAGAGCATGTCCTAGTATATGGCAGTTCTTACAAGAATATAATTTTGTTATAGCACTCATCAATCAATAAACATATATTAAGCACCTACTGTGTGCCAGGCACTGTGCCAAGTACTGGAGATATAAAAAAGAGGTTAAAGACAGTCTCTTCCCTTAAGGAGTTTACACATCTAATAGGGGAGACAAGCAAACAAATATATGTATACAAAACAAGCTATGTACAAGATCAGAAATATCCCCTAAAAGTTTAGATTTTAGCCTTATGGCTAAAAAGTTGGGTGCTAGATCTTAATTAGAATACTTTAGGAGAATACAAAAATCACATGCCTGATTTTTTTTTAAATAGCCAAATTAACACATCCATAAGAGTATTGTCCTCTTCAAAATAGTTAGCTAAGAAAACTATAAATTTATTCCAATGGTCAGGTAAAACATTGGTGGTAGCTTACAAATTAGGTTTATTTCTTTGTATGTATGTTAAAAGGAAATAATGTTCAATTCATCCACTATGTTTCATGTGTACACATAAACTCCATAAAATTGCCATAACTACTTTCTTGATTTTCATTTCAAGTGATAACTTTAGGAAAGTTTACTTAACTTTATTGGCCCCAGAACAGAGAGAGGGAGATGAGCCAAAACAATGGGTAAATAACCTGTCCCATGGAGACGTTATTGCCATCTCCAAGACAGAATAATTCCTTGTGTTTTCTCTGGGATTCAACCTTTCATCTGTTGTAGGGCAAATGTTATGATTAATAATAGCAACAAACCATTTATGTATCCAAAAGGTGGTAAAAAATGTTAACATAGTAGTTCATGTTTTTCACCATACGTACTGGAACCTTCACATCCATATGAGTATCATCCTCTTCAATGCAGTCACCTTAGGAAAACTACTCCAGTGATGCTACCATTGCTTAAAATATTTTTGGAGTTTAAAGAATTGCCTTCAAGTAAATTTATCTGAATATTCCCAATGGTGATACATTCCCACCTTTTGTGGTTGTATTTTATTTTTTAGAAAAACAGAAATTTATTTAGATCTAAGTCCAATAAATAAAGCTGAGGTGGAAGATTGAATTGGGTAACCTTTTGGGCCAAAAAAATTGTGAACATAAGTTAATGAGTCGAATTACAAGGCTTGTGTGGATTATAAACTGTCTCTGAAAAACAAATTTGCTCAAAGAACCATTGCAAAAGGATTCTACTCCTAGCCAGCAGAAGGTGTATGTGGACTCTGTTACATAGGACAGTATACATTCAGGTGCATGAATTGTGGCATATTTACCTGAAAATAAGTTATATTACTTTTATAGGCACACCAACTTCCCTATAAAATAAAGGTGAAGGTGCTGTCTGAGGGACCCCTCAAAAGAGGGTACATATGGTTTGTTTACAGAAACAGAGGAAAGAACGATTTGGTCGTATTCCTGCCAAGGTTAATTTTCTTGTTCATTTTCTCTCATTGTGGGAATTAATGGTCATGAAGTAGGAGTCTGCTGTCTGCAAAGTGCTTAGGAGGAAAGGGACTTAAGAAAACAAACAAACATAAAAGTCAGCACATTAAATAAGTGGCCTCATTATTAAATGTCTATAGAAATAAAAATGTCATTCTCAGGCTAAAATATTATAAGTCAACTAAACACCTTTTTTTTTCTCCCTTTCTTCCAGAATGCTAGAAGATGACCTAAAGTTAAGTAGTGACGAAGAAGAAAATGAGCAGGTGAGCTGTTTATTTTTTGTTCTTCCCTTTGTAAACAAAGATGATACTACTACCCTGGTGTCAGTAAGACATATGTTCTGAGCTGCCTCTGGGATGGAGGCAGACTCTTTCACTCAGTTCCCAGTAGGACCCACAACATTCATTTATAAAACAAGGGATTGGGGACCGGGGGTCTAACCTATGACCATGAAAATGAGTTTCTCCTCTGCAGTGCTGAGTGTCCTCAGAGGGATCAGATCTGTGGCCTTGATTTCATTAGCACTGCACCCTGACCTAACCAGCAAAGCTTACAGAATCTTTACTAATGCAACATGTAAGCGGTAACATATTAAATATTAAGGATTCTTATACCGACATCATTAATATTTAGAGGAAGCATAGTAGAGGTTAGCTGAACTGTCGAATTGAATAATAGATTCACATATTTAGTAGCAGGTTATTCATCTTCACTGAGAGATTTGCTTGAAACAATCTTCACTGGTCTTGATTTATCCCCTCAAGTCATCAATTGGTGGTTTACAAATACCGTTAATATGAGTCAGTTAAGAGAAAAAAAAAGATTGCATTTAATTAATGTGTCTTCAATGGAAGAGCACTGGATTTAGAAACAGATGAACTGGGTTCAGAATTCCATCTGTGCCACTTATTACAAACGTGAATTTGGGCAAGATGAGAGGGTTAAACTAGATGACCTCCAAGGTTTTCTCTAGTTTGAAATCTCAGATTCCTGAGATAATCCTGTATATTTTTTCTAATTTTTTTTTGATATTTCATTTATTTTGTATTTTGTAGTAACAAAATACTAAAAACAAAATCTCTAAGCCTTTGGGATTTTTCCCCATCAGCTATATTAACATTTCAACAACAGCAAAAAGAATGTGATAGACATGAAAACATTTCAGTGTCTTCTTCATAAATTATTTTTACATTAATTGAATACTAATACAATACACTTGAGCTCGAAATATTGTGTTTTATGCAAAGGTAGCATTAAATGCCACAAAATGATTAGATTGTCTGGACACACAAATTCAAGTAATATATAGATGTAGGGGTGGACAGAGCTAAAATTAAAGATAAGAAAGTTTTGAGAAAAGTCAGAAACTAATTGTAAGATTTATAAAAATAAATTTTGGTTGTTTTATGAGAGAAGTTAAGATGCCAAAGATGATAGGGAAAATAAGAGACTGGATATAAGATGAAATTTGACAAGTCAGGAAATGATTTTGACACATACAGATAATTCCAAATGATGGAAGATCAGCAGGGATCTGTAATAAGAGAGGAATAAGGCATTTAAGAATAGAGGACATTTTGAAAAAAAAAAGAAATTTTCCTGCCCTAACTTTTAAGTTACAAGCTGATAGAAATCTGAATTTGTTTTTTTAAGTTAATGTTATATATACATATTAATATGTTATATACAATATATTTAGATTATATTTTTGTTAAATTTCATGTATTTGGTTTTATTTTTTATCCAAAGGCAACAGGAAGAATATTTCATAGGATATTTTGTCATTGTGCATTGTAATGAACATGTTTAGCACTTCTTTTCTTTAAACAGAAGTACCATCCACTGTTTCTTTCATCTGCCTTAATTCAACAATCATAAGAGATTTATCAAGTATCTAGGTAGTTCAGTGGATAAAGTGCTGGGCCTGGGTCAGGAAGACTCATCTTTCTAAGTTCAAATCTGGCCTCAGACACTAGATATGTGGCCCTGGGTAAGTCACTTAACCCTGTTTGCCTCTGTTTCCTCATCTGTAAAATAAGCTAAAGAAGAAAATGGCAAACCACCACAGCATCTTTGCCAAGAAAATGCCAAAGGGGGTCATGAAGAATCAGACATTACTAAAACAACTGAACAACAACAAAAGATATTGTCTTAGGATAATTTTAGTGGAGACACCCATTGTTTAGAAATGTTCCAATAGGATGTGTCATGCAACATAATAACCTTACGAAACAAGTGTGAGGACCTGAATCTTATTTCTGCTTTTTTAACTAAATGTCTGAATTCAGCAAGTGACAGGATTCCTTTGGCTTCCTCTTCAAGGAAAGACTCTCTGGATTCAACTGTATAATATTTATAAAGTTACCTGTCACATTGTGTAGAGCAGGACTTCTTAAACTTTTTCCACTCTTGACCTCTTTTTACTTTTTGACAGTGTTTGTTGGCATTTTGACAGTTTTGTGGGTGTTGCATGACCTGAGAGCACTCACAGTGCAAAGCGCTCATGCTTTGTGCTCAGAACCAAGGCTGCAGTGAAGTTGCATGATCCAACAGGGCAAGGACTGCCAGAACCACCTCAGATTCATTACTCATTTGATTTTGAATTAATTTTTGGTAATTGCACGTTCAGGAACCTTTTACTATTGCCAAATTGTAAGCGCTGGAAAGGACTATTGCCAATGAATTAATTCACCATCATTTGTCCACCAACATCACCTTAGGAAAGTGATGAGCCTCCCATACTTAGTGAGGCTGGTCCTTGGAAAGCAGATAAAGTCTGTTACTAGGGAAGAGTATGGTAGAATCTGACATAGTTTGCATTCAACTGACATAGCCTTTGAAAACACATGGTCACCATCACATTACAATGAGGCATTGGAGTCTATGGGAAACCTCTACTCCAATACTGTTTTATATTTTTCTTTTATTGAATATTCTCAATGGATATTAAAAGAAAACATATATGGTCATCAGTCTTTTATGGAACGTTTCTACTTCTATGATAACAGTGACAGAGTGGTAGAAAAGAGGACAGAGGGTGCTAAGACAACGTTAGTTTTAGACCACTTATAAACATTAACCTATTTGTTGGTACTTTAGATTTTGTGACCTTGTCCAGTGACCTAATGCTATTGGAGGAACTGAATCATACCTATCTTGACATTCTCACTATAAATGAAACCAGCAGATAAAAGGAAATTGCAGCCAAATGAAAGAATGACTCAGTCTCACCTTAGAAAAGGAAATAAAAAATTATATTTTTGGTTGCATATCATATATTTGGCTATATTTTGTATCCACAGGCAACAAGAACAAAATTTCATGGGACATTTTGTCATTGTGCATTGTAGTGAACATAATCAGCACATACACAAAGACCACCTTGAAAATAGTTGCAGCTTTTGTACCAGCATCTGTCACAGAGTATGAGGAAGTAGAGAAAAAACTATGAAAAACTCAATAAGGTCATCTGAATTGAGTCAGAATATTTTTAATACTCACTGTCTTCAATGGAAATGGAAGTTTTGGGGAGGACAGAGAAATATTTTGGAAACTATGGCATATAAGAAATGAGAAAGGTCAAAGGCCTATAGACTGTGCAGAAGCCTCATGCCTATCTCATGAATACTTTTTTTTAAAAAAAAAAGGCTTGGGAACACTGGATATGCCAGGCATCAAATGGCATCATGAAAAGAATTAAATTGATCATATTTTAATGGACAAAAAATGGTTACTGCTTTTCCAGGATGTACGCACATACGCACACACACGCGCACACACACACACACACACACACACACACACAAACTCCTACAGGATTGTGTATTTTTCATCCAATTGTTTTTTCCCTGTAAAAGTTGCTAGGCCAGTCTCTTTCAAATCAACGTACACCAGGGGTGGGGAACCTGCGGCCTTAAGGCCACATGTAGCTCTTTAGGTCCTCAAGTGTGGCCCTTTGACTAAATCCAAACTTCACAAAACAAATCCCCTTGATAAAAGGATTTGTTCTGTAAAACTTGGACTCAGTCAAAAGGCTGCACTCAAGGGCCTAAAAGGCTACAGATTCCCCACCCCTGACATAGACCATAGGATTATAGATTTAGAGATCCAAGGAATCTTCCAAGTCATCAAGTCCGTACCTTCTCATTTTATAGATGAGGAAACTGAGGCCTAGAGAGTTGAAGTGACTGGCTGATGGTTACACAGCTAGCATGAGGTGAATTTGAGCCCAAGTCTTCTTGGCTCCCAGTCCCAGCATTCTGTGTGTCTTTCATGAAGAGTCCCTGGAGTGGATTCTTTAAGGGCATAAGACAATTAGCACAGTTTTATCCACCAACGGGAATAACTAGAGAACTTCATCATCTTAAAAGAATTCACCTTCTTTTGGACTTCACATGGAACACTCTGCATGGCATTGGAAAACACATTTAGCAAACATGTCCCCTTTCTCATAATTTATTTGATACTGGTAATTGGAAGATCACTGACACGAGTCCGATCTGTGGTTGCATTTACCGGGCATCTTGTGTGAGCTAGTAATATGTTATGGTAGTTATTAAGGAGGGAACTTGACATAGTGAACATGGGCTGGTCTTGAAGCTAGGAACACCTGGGTTCTAGTTCTGCTGCTGACATATACTAGCTATATAACCCTGGGTAGTAATGTTATAGACAACCCTGTAAGACTTTACAATGTAGAAAAGGTCAGGCGTTGGGAGGAGTTTCTTCACTTGGAAGTTCCCCATATCAATGAAATCATAGTTCCAACCCCTATCTTTATCCCAGTTATAATAATGGCTTTTTATATAATGTAAGTCAATTGGCTTCTTATCGTCCTCTTATTCTTGGTCTTAGCTGTCCAAAGTGATAGAGTGCTATAAGAGAAAGGAAAGAATTCAGAAGACATGGGACAGCAGAAATCTATGAAGTGAAGAAACAAGAAGAGGAATGGATCATTTTTTTTAAATCTTTTTTTCTGAAATGATGGGCTCTTGCCTCTTAAGCCAGGGAATGCTCGGAGAGTTATACCCAGAGAAAGTATCCAGATGAAATTACTCTGGCCGAGACATGAGGAGAGGAACACATGATGAACACTCAAAAAGGGCCGGCCAAGATAATGTCACCTGTGGACAATGTTTCAGAGATGACAAATATATGGGCTTAGGGACTAAGAAAAGGTAAAAGGAGCAGGCAGCAAAATTGAATGCTTCTGTGTGTGTCTACAGCTTGCAGTAATTACATTATCCACACATATTAGGCAGTC